CCTGGGAGTCGTAATTTGTCTGCACAGCAGCTCAGGAGATGAAAGCAGAGCCACACAAAAGCTCAGGACTGACTGATAGGAAATAATTGCAGGCAGAATTCCAGGAGAGGAATTGATGTAATTCTATTAAAGGCATTTGTAGAGGAAGAGAATGCAAAAAAAAAAACAAAAAACAAAAAAACCACCAAAAAACCCCACTAAAATTTAGATAGAACGCACCCAGAATTGGATAAAATACAGGAATAATTGGCATTAAACACATAAAAGACATAAAAAGGAAAACATGATAAAATTTTAATTATAAGTGAGGTAATTCCTCTCATCTTTTCCTATCACATTAAGCAGTTCATGTAGAATATTTAGCAGTTTATATGGAATATTTAGCAGCTTATATAGAATATTTAGCAATTTATGTAGAGTATTTAGCTATTTATATGGCATATTTAGCTGTATATATAGAATATGTATTAGTTTTTCTAGAATAAACTAGATATTGCTAGAACTAAACTAGATATCTATCTCTAACTAGATATCTACATAAACTAGATATCTAGAATAAACTGGATCAATTGCTAGAATATTTAGCAATTTATGTAGAATATTCAGCAATTTATATAGAATATTTAGCATCTTACATAGAATATTTAGCAATTTATATAGAATATTCAGCTGTATATATAGAATACATACTAGTTTTTCTAGAATAAACTAGATGTTGCTAGAACTAAACTATCTCTAACTAGATATCTAAATAAACTAGATATCTAGAATAAACTGGATAAATTGCTAGAATATTTAGCAATTTATGTAGAATATTCAGCAATTTATATAGAATATTTAGCAGTTTATATAGAGTATTTAGCTATTTATATGGCATATTTAGCTGTATATATAGAACACTTACTAGTTTTTCTAGAATAAACTGGATATTGCTAGAACTAAACTATCTCTAACTAGATATCTAAATAAACTAGATATCTAGAATAAACTGGATAAATTGCTAGATTATGTAGAATAGTCAGCAATGTATGTAGAATATTTAGCAATTTATATAGAATATTTAGCAACTTATATAGAATATTTAGCAACTTACATAGAATATTTAGCAATTTATGTAGAATAGTCAGCAATGTA